GTTTGTGGGTAAGTTACACAATACAGCAAAGACCTCCAACGAGAGAGTCAGTACTTTCATGGAGATCTCAGAGCCTTATCAGAGCTTAGTACCAATACTTCAACCATTCCCAACTCTGTTCCTTCCTAGATACTCCTCACCCCAAACTCCTGCAAATTTCAAGAATCTGTGTGTGTGTGTTGGGCAGAGGGGGAATATTAAAAGTATCTCTTTGTCTTCAACAGGTACTTTAGCTTGTAAGCAGCAAGAACCTACTTATGCCAGCTTTTATAAGAAAATAACTTATAAAGATACAGGGGTGTTTCTACAACAAAAGCTAGGGGTGTAGTTTGGTCTCATGAGGGATTAAAATTTGGAACTTGAGTAACTCTGGGCCGCTTGCATGTCAGTCTCTCTGGGACTGACGACTCTATCACATCTGACTTTCTTTGTGCATGGGTATCATTCTTGCTCTGGAAAACAGGTTTCTTCTGCTCATTTTAGCCTACAGCCAAAAATAGACTTACTCTGTTCCAGCAAACAACAGAGCCTGATCAGCCTCTCTGACTGTGGGGCCCCCTTCTCACTCACAAGCATTTTTAACTTGGGGTCCATTTGATGTTTGTGAATTTTGATGGGGCAAAAAAATCACATGTTCATTTCCATAAATACCTGAAATTCAGAATTTTTACCAACTGTGAGTGTAGGCAACAAACCACAGTGGAACTTGCAGGACCTGTAACTTTGTCACTGCGATGGACATTATGATCCATACTGGGGCATCCTCTTGGGTGGGGGCTGCCTGTGTTTAGTAATTAATCATTGCTGGGTTGCAGACACCTAGCCCTCTCCTTTGACTCAAGGCAGTTCTGAAGGGTCATGTAAACTTCAGACCTCCCGTAAGGTTGGCTGAGGCATCTTCTCAGACAGCACCACAGCTCAATGTCATCCTTCTCTGCCCAATTCCACCTGCCTTCTGCCTCCCCTTGCCTTCCCTGGCATTGATGTCAAGAGTATTGCCTAGTAAACTCCCTGAATGCCAATCTCCTTAGATTCTGCTTAGATTCTGCTTTCTTGGAAAACTGATCTATGACAGTCACCAATACAAAGGATTAATATTGTTAGATCACATTATGGTTAAATTATCTTGAAATGTATGTGCTCATTCCCACTTCAACATTTCAGTAGTTAGTAGGCTGCTGGATCTTGTTACTTAATACATTAATAAAAAACACTTTACTATATTGAAAATTGTTTTTAAATATTTTTGATAACTGTATTTCAATATATTTAGTTTTCTTTATTATCGCATGTATTTTATTGTATGCATTTTGAAACATCATTCTGAGACAGAGTTCAGAGGCTTCACAACTGTCATGGCAAAAAAGAGCAGGTGTCAAGAACCCCTGGGAACTCTCCCAGGAGATGCTGTTTTTTCACCGGGCTTTGAGCACCATCCATATGCCAGTGACTCCCTAATTGTCATCTGCAGCTCAGACGTCACTCCTACTCCACCATTGCTCCCTTGCCATTCAGCTGCAGCTCAGCCATAGGCTTTAAATTGATCTTTTCACATCACCATTCTTCACTCCCATCCATTCCCCGCACAGACATCAGGATGATTTAAAAAGCAAAAACAAGATATAACAAATATTTCTGTAATTAACACTAAAATAATAGTTAACATTCCCTAAGTGTTCACTATGAGCCAGGCGCTCTGCTATTATTGCATTTATCTTTTTAATAGGCCTATGAAGTAGGTACTGCCATTATCACTATTCCACACATGTGAAAACTAAAGATTATAGAAGAAAAATAACTCTTCCAAAATCACACAGCTAATAGTAAGTAGTAGAACTGAGACTATACTTTCAGAGCCAAAACCCATTCTTTTTTTTAAATAATTTTTATTATGAAAAATTTCAAACATACTAAAAAATACAGAGAAATGTATAATAACCCCCATGTACCTATCATCCAGATTCAACAGTGTTCAATGTTCTTACAATTTTATTTCATCTCATCCTCTCCCTTGCCACCTCTACCTCTTTTTTCTTTATATCTGGAATATTTTAAAACAAACATCAGACATCCTAGAATTTGACCTAATACAATGGTAGAATTAATAGAACCCAAGAGAACACTTTGGTAGAAATAAAAATGCTTGAAAATATTTTTCAGTAGAAAAATGCTTTAAAACAGAGAATAATCATACCATTCCCTATTTAAAATACTTTAGGAGATTCCTGTTCTACTTAAGAGAAATCCTTCACATGACTGATAGAGTTCTGAGTCACATGACTTACTTCACAAACACACTCAAGACTGACTTTCTCTCAGTCTCTCTAGCTCTTTTCCACTCAGTCAGGGCCTTCCTACATCTTAAGCTTGGAAAGATTTTTCTTCTACCTATTCTCCTGTTCAAATGTCCCTTCCTCAGACAGATTGTTCCATGCTGATTTAGATCCCAAGTTCTCCCCAGTCTAATTCTCTTTCAGCCTAATGATTTCCTATAGTATCTTGTTCTTGGTTTTCATCTCATTCCTTACAATGGATAATTTTTACATTTATTTGCCTGTATCTCTCTGCTACTGGACTATAAAAGACTTGTCAGTTTTGCTCACTAGTCTATACCTAGTCTCAACATACTACCCGGCACATAGTAAGCACTCACTAAAATGTAATGTGTATGTGTGTATATACATATATGCATCTTAGTGAGTATATTCTCATACATTCTCTGAGACTATGGGTGACTATATTCTCCTATAGTGAGTCTCTCTCTCAAGAAAGTATAACTTACAGAGTTAAAAGTATAAGTATAAAAGGAGCAGCTATGTTAAATTTTGAAAAGTATAACCTATTTTATTTACATATTTAATTCTCCATTGTTACTGACTACATTAAAAGATGTGAACATTCATCAGCACTGACTTTGCAATTGTATCTCCCATTTACCTTTTTTTTTTCTTTCCTGCGTTGTGTCCCACGCTGTTTCTCTGCAGTTTCACAACGCTGTTCTTGACGGGGAGTGATCCACTCATGTGTAGCCGTCTGAGTTCTTCCCTTCTTTCTCTGGGAGCAGAGAACCAGGAGGTCACCTCTACTCCGCCATTTTCCTAGTTTAACATTCATCAGCACTGAGTGATTAGGATTGATTAAGTTATTTCAGAGCATCGTCAACAACAAAAAAGATACTCTCTTTCTAGCATATAAAATCTCTCTCTCCCCATTGTCCTCAAGAGTTAGAATTTTATAACATGCTTTTTTTTTTTGGTCCTAAAATTGTAATTAAAAAAAATTTTTTTTTCAAAAATGCTTTGGAAGTATTTGAGATTATCAATAAGAAATTTCTTCTTAGAAATGGTATGAGCCAGGTGCTAGAAACCTATCTCTCAGGCAGTCAGTATAAAATAACCGTTTCCCATTACCATACGGCACTGACAATCTGGCATCTATTTTAACTGAACCAACTCCCTGCTTCAGACTGCTATCTTGAAATATCATTCTGGGCTGAATATCTATTGCAGTATGTATAAAATGAAATTATAGCCCATTGCTACATTTGCTACAGTTACTGGCATGATGGATTACAGGTACTCAACCAGAGTGCATTTAGTATTATGATTTAATAAAGTGGCTGAAAGGGGAACATTTGTTCTCTTTTTGTTTTACAATAATATTTGCATTAGAAAAGTAATATATGTACATCATTAAAATGGAAAAGTGCCAAAAATATAAGGAAGAGAATGAAAATTCCTAATGATCCCACTACCAAGAAATAATCACCATTAATATGTTGACTATTTGCTTTCAGATTTCTTTCCATTATGAAATTGCTGATATTTGACCTCTTTGACCTATAAAATGTTAATTTCATATGGCTTACTGTACTAAATCTAAATAATGTCATATGCATATAATTTTATTTTATGTACTGAAGAGCATACTAAACAGATTGTCTTGTATTAATAGCTTGCTTTTCTCATTTAACATTATATAATTTAAGTATTTGTTCATAGTATAAAAACTTTTTGAAAACATTATTATGAATGACTATTATATTCCAATGTATGTATGTACCACAATTTACCTAACGATTTCCCTGCTATTGGACGTATCAGTTGTTTCTAATTGTCACCATTACAAATTATGCTCTGATAAACATCTCTATGCAAAATTATTTGTGTGTATTTTTATTTCTACATATAAGATTCTTGGTTACAGGTTGTAAATATTTTGGAAGGACTTTGATTTCAAGAAGAAACAATGTGTATGAATGCAAAGGCTGTTTGTTTTTGCTCACCTCCATTTCCATGGTGGCCAGACTATTTTCTGTCACACTGAAGGCACTCAATAAAACATTTGTTCAATGAATTAATGTATGGCACCAGCCACTAAGGCTAAAGGAAGTTTCTGGAAATAGCCAACATGACATGCATGCCTCTTTTATTTTACCAGTGAAAATTCTATTCACACCTATGACAATTGTTCTCAGGTACTAACGAGTGGTATTTTTCTGGTGGTTACCATCTCACTTTCCAGTTTCTCTTGTGTATGAGATGTTTTATAGCAGTTGAAAATTTGAGCTCTCAAATTGTTAATATATAAATTGTAGCTTAAATTTAGAGTCTTGAAGTCTTCCACTTAGTACCTGTGTAACCTTGGGAATCATAATTTCTCTGGGCCTTAGTCTTCTCCTCTATAAAATGGGAAGATTGACAGCATCCACCTCACTGAGATGTTGTGAGGATTAAATGAGATCATTTGTGTAAAGATGCATTATGGTGCTAAGCACATAGCACATACTCAATAAATGTTTTCCATTATTATCTTACAAAATTGAGAAATTGTGAAATCACCTTTTTGTCCAAAAAGGGGTATATACAGGAAATTGACAATTCTATCTAATCCTCTCAAAAATGAGTCAAGACATATAAATGAGAAAACACACCACTGTCAGAATTTTAAAAGGTTACATAACCTTTTAAATCCCTCATTGGTTGTTTTTATTATCTCAGGTCTATTTCCCTCTAATGACTGGCAGCAAAAACACAGGACAAAGGGCTTCTCTCCCAGGTGAGTATGGAAGAAGTAGCTGGGGAGATTGGTGCCTTCCCCCACAGCCAGTTCTCCTGGGGACAACTGGGGACACTTGCAGGACTGGCAAGTGTCTGAAGGTCCTCAGTGATCTGGACAGGAGAGAGAACACAGGGAGGTGGCATAGACTGAGAAAGTAACTTTGAGACTTGAAGAGTTTCTGACCTGGACAAGCTCCTGGCATTGTGTGGCTGGGTCGGGTCACAGTAGGATATAGATGCTGACTACTGAGTGAGGACCAAGCAGATATGTGGTCAAGGGCAGACAATGTCACACTAAGGACAGACTGGCAGCAAGTTGGCAGTGCTAGGACAGGACTGGCCCTGGGGGAGGGGGTTGCTGGTGTGAAAGCAACAACCAAATCAAGCTTTAGTTTGTGCTATGTCCGGTCATTTAATCTACATTTAGATGTGCTATGTCCGGTCATTTAATCTACAACTGTTATTGAGAGTCTACAATGTGCCAGGCACTGTTGTAGGCCCAGAGGGATCAGCAGTGAACAAACAAAAAGGCAAACATCCCACCCTTTGTGGGGTTGTATTCTAGTGGGAGGAGATAGACAATAAACAATAAGTATAATACATACCTAACTGATATCATATAGTAGAAGGTAACGAGAACTTTGAAACAAAAGAGCTAAATAATGGGGATGGCATGTGTGGGTGGTGAAGGGAAAGTGTGCAGTATTAACTGGGGTTAGTAAGGGTAGGCCTGGTTCAAAAAGTGCCATTAGAGCCAAAACTTGAAGGAGGTAAGGAAGCAAGCTAGAGAGTATTCTTGCCAAATGCAAAGGCCCCGATGTGGAAGTGTGTCTGTTTTTGAGGAAAAACAGGGAGGCCAGAGTGGCTAGAACAGAGTGAGGGAGGGAGAGATCAGTAGGAGATGAGGGCAGGAATATGTGTAGGGGTCCGGTTAGGGAGGCCACTGTAATGTTGGGTATTTCTAGATCAGAGTTTCTCAAATCATGCTCTACAAATCATGTGTATTCTGCAAGAGAGTTTTCCTTGGCCTGTGCCCAGGCTGTTCAAATGGAATGTGGGTACAAAGAAGGTACTCTTAGATTCTGCCACTCAGTCACTCTCCAAAGTCCTTTTTCTCTGAGATGGTAGACGAATTTGCAGGGAAACCCTGGGGAAATAAGTAGGAGGGGTACATGATACCCATCTAGGTCCTTCCTGGGTATTTGCTCTGGGGGACTTGGGACATACTGTCAGTATCATACGGCTCTGGATCCTAGGTCCAACCTTCATGGTCATATACCTTCCTCTATATCAAGGGCATCGCTGGGGCCCCTTAGTTCTCTGGGGAATGTGACTCTTCCCACGTACCTCAGTACACAAGAACTTGCTAAGGTGGGAAGGTCTAATTCCTCAAAAGGAACCTGAAGCTGTGTAAGCCTCTCTACTAGAAGGATCTAGTTAATGATTAACCAAAGTATTCATAAAAATGAAGAGGAGGTGGGTGTGATTAAGGACTATAATTATTCATGATCTCTTGATTGAGCAAATGTATTACTTAAAAACTCTCCAGCTTTGGAGTCAAAAGCTAAGGCATTTATCTACATTTTAAGATTTGGGGAACTGAAAATACATATTATGCTTTTAAGAGCTGTTTACAGCTTTATTATTTCTTAGCCTTCTTATGTTTAAGCATGTGTGCTCTCTTTATGGAAACCCGAAGCTTCGTTTATTTAAATTTCAGGGATGTTGAAACATTAAAATTAATGAAACATTACATTAACATGTAGAATCTACATTATGTACCTGTTTTTAATTCATGTGAATATATATTAAGTATAACTCTAAATAGTTGAAGAAAATATCAGCAAACTCTGCCAAGAGGTGGGTGTGGAATGAGTAATAGCAACCTATTAGGAATTAAGCCACTTTGAGGAGCTACTCTTTCTTTAACAGACCTTTCTTTGTTGGTGGGACAGGCTGCTGAGTTTAGATCTTAAATCCAACCCTAGGTTTCCCCTTCCAGATAAAACTCCACGGCAGACCAGCTTGCTCAGGTACGGTGCCTGCTTGCCTGCCTGACCACAACCTTCCAACCAGCAGCTGCACAGGGACAAGCCTGAAGTCACCCAAATGCTTGTCACATGTTAAGGACCAAATCATTCTCTCTGGAACAGGATCTTCTCAGTCTTCTCATCTCAGGAAATGGAGCTACCATCCTTTGAGTTGCTCAAGTTAAAAAGCTAGAAGTAGACTTTGGATTCATCCCCACTACCACCACCAGGCGCGTCAAATGAATCAGCCAATCCCAGCAGCTCCATCCCCCAAAGATGTCCTGACTCTGCAACCTTCCTTCCCCATCTGTGCTGCTACAATCCTGGTCACATCTGGCCTCAGTTGTTGTGATAGCTTTCTAAATGGTCTCCATGCTCCCAAGCTTGCCCTCTTAATGGCAATTAGAATGGTTTTTAAAAAACTGTATCAGATCATTTCACTCCTCTGTGTGAAATTCACATCCCTCTTGGCACTAAAGGTAAACCTAAATTCCTTACTTTAGCCTACAAGATGGTTACTTGACCAGGCTCTTAGTTCCTTTTCTGATTTCATCTTCATATCTAGGTACAATACTCCAGCCACTCTGGAACTTCTTTTCATTTTCTGAACCCATTCAAGTTGTTCCAGCCTTTGTAGGCGTTTCCTTCCCCTAGAACCCTTTCCACCACCCCTTCATCCTCTCAAGGCTACTTCCTTATCCTTCGGATCTCAACTTAAATACCACTTCCTCAAGGAGGCCTTCTCCAACCAGCCCTTGCCAATCAGTCTGTATTCTAATTTTCAAGAGTATACTTTTCCTGTTTGTTTATTTTTCTTTCCTAGCTGTCTCCCACCCATCCCTAGAATGTGAACTCTGTGAGAGCAGGAATATTGACTGTGCAGTTTTCCACTCTATTCCTAGCACCTGGAACAGTGGTTGGTAAGTAAAAGGTGCTGTATAAATCTTTGATGAATGAATAGAGTTTTTCTTGGCAGGGTGGTTTCCATCTAAGAATCTAGCATGGGTTGCTTATCTTTATATTCAGCCCATAACTCTGGATCTTCCGTTTCTCCCTGACGACTCATCTGATAGATCTACATGGTCCCTTTATCACTAGGGAGCCTATCATAGGAAAAAAGTGGATAAATTAGCACAAGTGGAATAGCCCCACTGAAAAGATTCTCAACACTCATGCCCTCTGCATACAAGTCAGTGTCATTATCTTTTCACTCATTAGAACAGTTTGCATTAATATATAGATGTTCTAAAAATCCATCTGTTTAGGACTTTGCTATCTCTGTATAATAGGGGAAGACGAAGCATTGCTCTCAGTTTCTCACTGATAAACTTAGAGAATACTAGAGAAATGATGTTAGAAGCTTTAAAAAGGCTATTTAAATGCCATTTTAAACATGGAGAATTAAAATCCTGAGTTATATAACCTAGCAACCTAACAGAAGGACACATAACCTTGGTCTTGAATCATGAGAAAAGTTAACAGGAAGTGACTGATGATCTAAAAAGTAGACTATAAATACAGGCTAGTTTTACATTTTAGGCAATGTCTTCCATGAGTGAGTATTTTGATATCAATATAGCCCCACTTTCTTTAGCTTATTAGTAATTTAATATTTTTTCTGATTATAATAGTAGTGCATGCTCATTGTATTTGGAAAATATAGAAGCAATAGTAATTTATCTATGCTAGAGCTAAGGGTGTGTTAAAGTACTTGTAGACCAACATGTGGTATGAGACAACATTGGCCCCCAGAGGTCCCTTGTGTGCTGTGGGCAGAAGGGGCCACTCGACTTTTGGGGTCATCTCACAGCTTCTTGAGGCTTGTGGACATTGAAGCACATCCTGTGATTTCGAAGGGTGTTAGGAATCCCATGAGAGGGAACTTAGTGCTCGTCCACAGCGGGCTTCACTCATGAACAGACCTGACTAATGATCTTGGGCTCCTCCAGCAGGCTGAAGTGGAGGGAGAGTCATCAGCCCCTGAGAGAAAACACTGTGACTAAGGCTCAAGTCTGCAGTATCAGCAGGACAATGTTCAGAGGAAGCAATGTTAGGCCTTTCTCCTCCCAGCCCTACCTCACCTCACCTGTGCCTGTGAATGACAGAAAGAAAGGTGTCACCAGGGGCCACCAGAGAAGCAACAGGAGCTCTCCTGGTGGCCCAGGGGAAAGAGAACACCATAAAGGTCAGTGCTTCTGAGGAAGCTTCCAGAAGCATCAGCAGCAAGTTGGGAGCACAATAGAATGGCCAACACAGGGGCAGGAAGTGGAAGCCTCAGATAATCACAATCGGGGAGCTTAAGAGATGCAAGAAGCTATTCTGACTTCATGACTTCACTCCTACAAGATAAACCAGGAAGGGCTTCTCTGGACAAGATTAGATATTTTCAATCATAGAGGGAATGGGGCCAAGAGAGTCCTAGGATTTGTGTAATTACTATAAATGTGATATGAGTTTATTTATTGCTTGGTGATGGCAGGAGACAAGGTTTACACAGAGAAAAGAAAGAACAGCCTACCTATAATCCAGTCATAGCAAAACAACTACTTTTCAACATTTTGATATATTTCCTGGCAGTTTTCCTTCTATGCATATTTTGTACTGTTTACAAAATTTCATTTCTTACTTTCTCATTTGTAACATAAGCACTTCCCCTTGTTAATAAAAATGCCCTTAACTCTGTAAAACAGTTTGATAATTTCTTATGAATTTAACACTTATCATATGAGCCAGAAATCCCATTTCCACATATTTATCCTAGAGAAATAAAAGCTTATATTTGCACTAAGTCCTGTACATGAATGTTTATAGCAAATCTATGTATCACCAAACACTAGAAACAACCCAAATATTCTTCAGTGGGTAAATTGATAAAGAAACAGTGGCACCTCCATGCCATGGATTATTCAGTAATACAAAAGAAATGAACTATTGCTACATGTGACAACATGGATGAATCTCAAAAAGTAGGCTGAAAGAAGCCAGTCTCAAATTATTACATACTGATAATTCCATTTATATGACATTTCTGAAAAAGCAAAACTACAGATATAGAAAACAAATGAGGGGTTTCCAGGACTTAGGGGTTGGGGAAGGGCATAACTACAGAGACATATTAATAGCAAGAAGAAGTGTTTTGACATGATGGAACTGTTTTTTATTTTTTTATTTATTTATTTTTTAATTAACTTTTTTTTATTTCGGCATATTATGGGGGTACAGATTTTAAGGTTTCAATAAATGCCCATTTCTCCCCCTCCCCCCAAAAGTCTGAGTCTCCATCATGACCATAACCTAGAGGTGCCAACATCTCACTCATTATGTATATGATACCTGTCCTCCTCCCTCCCACCTGCCCAATACCCTATTACTGTAGTACCTATGTGTCCACTTAGGTGCTGCTCAGTTAATACCAGTTTGCTGGAGAATATATCTGGTGCTTGTTTTCCTCTTTGGATACTTCACTTAGTAGTAGGGTTCCAGCTCTAACCAGGAAAATATAAGATGTGCTATATCACCATTGTTTCTTCAGAGCTGAGCGATATCCATGGTATATATACACATTTTTCAATCCATTCTGATGGATGGGCACTTGGGCTGTTTGCCACAGCCTTGCAATAGAATTGTGCCTGCTATAAACATTCGAGTGCAGGTGTCTTTTTTTGTAAGGTGTCATTGGATCATTTGGTAGATGCCCAGCATGGGATTTGCTGGATCAAATGGAGATTCACTTGATTCGCTTAAGGTATCTCCATATTGGCTTTCCACAGAGGTTGAACTAGTTCTGCAGTCCCACCAGCAGTGTAGGAGTGTTCCTCTCTCTCCGCAACCACGCCAGCATTTATCGTTTGGCAGATTTTTTGATAAGGCCATTCTCACTGGGTTAAGTGATATCTCATTGTGTTTTGATTTGCATTCCCTGATGATAGAGATGTGACATTTCTTCATATTTTGGTTGGCCATAAATCATTAACTGATCTTATTAGGAAAATATCATGATTCAAGAATCCTTGCCCATTTTTTGATAGCGTTATTTGGTTGTTCTTCCTTTAATTTTTCGTGAGTTTCAAAGTATATCTATTATCAGTCCCTTAGTGGACTGCATAGGATGCAAAAATTTCTCCGCATTCTGTAGGTTGTCTGTTACCTTTCATGACTATTTCTTTGCTGTGCAGAAGCTTTGTAGTTTGAATCATGTCCAATTTATTAATTTTGTTGCAGCTGTGATTGCCTTGGGAACTTCTTCATAAACTCTTTGCCAGGCCGATGTCTAGGAAGTGTTTCCAACTTTTCCTCGAGAGTTCTAATAGTTTCCATATCTTAGGTTTAAGTCTGTTATCAGTGTGATTGGTTTTGTGAGAGGTGAAAGGTGTGGGTCCTGTTTTAGCGTTCTACAGGTGGCTATCCAGTTTTCCCCAGCACCATTTATTGAAGAGGGATTCTTTACCCAGCGTATGTTTGTCTGCTTTCAAAGATTAGAATGGCTATATGAGGATGGTTTTATATCAGGATTCTCAATCTGTTCCACTGTCAATATTCCTATTTTTGTGCCAATACCATATTGTTTAATTACTAACAGCTTTGTAGTATAGTTTATATCTGGCATATTAATGCTCCCCATTTGTTTTTGTTGCCTAGAATTGCTCTTGATATTCGGGGTCTTCTTTGGTTCCATACGAAGCGTAAAATTATTTTTTCTATATCTGTGAAGAATGCTGATGGGATTTTAATAGGTATTGCATTGAATCTGTAGATCAGTTTGGGTAGTATAGCATTGATGATATTGAGTCTGCCCGATCCACAGAGCATGGTATGGATTTCCATCTGTTTACATCTCTGCTATTTCCTTCCTCAGTGTTTCATAGTCTCTCCGTAGAGGTCTTTTACGTCCTTGGTTAAGTATATTCCTAGGTACTTTAATTTCTTTGTTGCTATTGTGAAGGGAATTGAGTCTTTGATTTGGTTCTCAATGAGATTGTTGTTGGCGTATATGAATGCCTCTGATTTCTGTGTATTAATTTTGTATCCTGAGACTTTACTAAATTCATTGATCGGTTCCAGGAGTTTCTTGGTTGAATCCTTGGGGTTTTCTAGATACAATATCATATCATCAGCAAACAGTGAAAGTTTGATTTCTGCCCCTATTTGGATACCTTTGATCTCCATTTTCCTGTCCTGGTTGCTGTAGCCAAGACTTCCAGTACTATGTTGAACCAGAAGTGGAGATAGTGGCAGCCTTGTCTGGTTCCAGTTCTAAGTGGGAATGATTTCAATTTTCCCCATTCAGTATGATGTGGCTATGGGTCTGTCATATATGGCTTGTATCATTTTTAGGTATGTCCTTCTATGCCTATTTCTTAAGTGTTCGTACATGAAAGGGTGTTGAATTTGTGTCAAAACCTTTTTCTGCATCTATTGAAAGAATCATGTGGTCTTTGTTTTGCTTCTGTTTATGTGGTGAATTGCATTTATAGATTTACGTATGTTGAACCATCCCTGCATCCCTGGGATGAAGCCCACTTGGTCGTGGTGGATTATTTTTTTGATAAGTGTCTGGATTCGGTTAGCTAAGATTTGTTGAAAATTTTTGCACTCTATATTCATTAGGGATATTGGTCTGTAGTTTTCTTTTTTTGTTGCATCCTTTCCTGGTTTTGGTATCAGAGTAATATTCGTTTCATAAAAGGAGTCGGGGAGGTTTCCATTCTTCTCAATGTTGTGGAATAGTTTCTGCATGTTTTTTATTTTTATATTCTTGGTGGGTACTTAAAATCTATATGAATGCTAACATTCATAGAACCATATACACAAAAAAGTCAATTTTATTTTATGTTAATTTAAAAATAAAGCTAAAAAAACAAAACAGTCTTAAAATGCCTTGACAACATAATTTAAAGTAACTTTATTATACATTCCTGTGCAACTCATCCATAATTACTCCTCCCTTCTCCTGATGCTGCCTGTTGGATTATTCCTGTCTCTGTATAAATAAAGCTGTATTGAAAATATCGGCAGCATACATCTTTGATCACATTTGAAATTTTTTTTCATTAGAATAGAATCCCAGAAATGGAATCTTTTTAAAACACCAACCATGTGCTAGCCACTTCTACCCTCGGGGAACTTACAATGCAACAGGGAGGAGTGAGGTTAATACTATTTAGCTGCCCAATACCACCTCTCTGCCTCCTAAGTTGCTAATGATGAGGATGAAAATACTAACATCACTTGTACTGTTTAGCTGTTTAAAGAAAGGGCTACCACTCCAAGTTGGGTTCCTCAAGAAACCCTTCACAGAAGATGTGAAATTAAGCTGTGCTTTGCAAGATGGGTGCATCTAACTGAATGATTCCAGAAAGAGAAATGCCACGTGCAGAGGTGAAGGCCTTTGGTAAGGAGTATGGAGCTGTGACTGTTTCCCCTTAATGACCTTGTGTGAAAATAAACAAACAGCATTTGAAAACCTCCTCTCCCAAGGTGAATAGAAGCTGACTCAACGGCCCATTTCCATGCATCAGCTTGCTGGGGAAAATGGAAAGTCCTGTTCCCCCAAAGCAGTGTTCCTCTGGCAGAGATAGAGGAATATTATATTATGTACAGTAAACTGGGGACACTTGCACAATGAAACATCTGTTCTGTATGCTTAAGCACCAAGCTACTCTCAAACTATGAATTTCCACTCCATATTCCAGGTGCTATGATGATGAGCAGAGAATGAGTTTGGAAGGTTCATCTCTTTCCAATAAAAATGTTCATCATGTCTCTCCAACTTTTATAATAATTATTTTGGAACACTTTAGATAGGAAATTGAAAGAGAGAGGAGGGACGGGATAATGACAAAACTGAAGAAGAATTGATGAAAGAGTCAATAAAGCTAAGGAACATTGAGTAATGGATTTTAATGATGGAGTCAACAATGCCTTCAGCTATTTTAACCAAGTCAACAAAGTCATTATATTGTACATGTGGTGTTTATTTTGCTACAAATTTATGTAGAGTGAACAGTTCATTATGAAATGCAAAAACTTCCTATATTCAGGGTCTGAGCAACTGCAGAGATGTTTGAGAAAACAAAATGTGGATATTCTTTCATTGAATGTTTCTAGAACAGAATGTTATTTTTCCCCACCCTGTAATTAACATTTTATTCTTTCTCAATATCCCCTACCAGGTGGCAGCTGTATATTACTTTCTAACATACCGTAGGTTTTCAATAGAGACCAGCTCCAAGGTTACTTTTGACTTTATAATGTACAACACCAGCTCATGGGTTCCACTAGGTGCCTGGCTATGAAATTTTTTGAGGCCAGTGTCAGAAACAGAATATTCGTTTGTCTTACCACAGTGCTGTGTATTATGGGTGCTAACGCCACATCTTACAAATTTCAAAGCCAATTTCCAAATATTATCTCCTTTGAACTTGATCAGAACTTGGAGATAGGCAGGGAAAATAGTTTCCCCCACCATTCTATAAAGGGGGAAATTAGAGTCTGAGAATGACTTTCCCAAGGTCACATGAAGAGTGAGGACTAGACACTATGCCTCCTAACACCCGTTACTCTGTTTTTCTATTGTATTATATACTTCATGCTTGAGTATAACCAGGCAGGTCCTTTTCCTGGGAAACTCTCAGGAGAAATGTTCTATAGTCCCAAACGCCTTTGCCCTTGTCTGGTTTCTGCTTAAACCCATCTCCTCTCCCATTTCTCCTTCTTGATAGGCATGTGGGATCTGCAGTGCGGAGAAGGCTGGTGATGCCAACCAGGAGGATGGAGAACCCCAAGGCACTTCCAGTGGTGGCCCGGAGCATTGCTCTGGAGTATCTGAGTACACCAGCAACTGTTGCCTTCAGAAGTGAACTCTAAGTGGACACAGACATGTAACTTAGGAACCGTGATGTGGGTAGTAACCTTATAGAGTCTCACGGCGCAGGTCCAGGGTGAATTGGTCCAACCATGTGGGCAGAGGGCAGAGGGAAGTGTTTAACCAGCAGTGGACCAGAGTGGGTCACATCAGCAAGGTCAGCGCAGGAGCAAAGTAGCCACTGGGACAATAGAGGGATAGTGATGTCCATGGCCCAATACAAAGGGGTGGGAGAGCATGCACGTTGCTTTCTGTAGCACATAAGGGCACAGTCATTTCTCCTAACCCTGGGACACTAGGTCTACTCCTTGATTCTTCTCAGGATTGCCAGGTAGGAGAGGCATGTGTGAGAGAGGAGGGAGCAGAAAAGAAAATGAACCAGGCAGAGATGACATACAAGGCATATTCAATGAGATTGCCAAGGAGAAAGAAATAGATCCCCCTTCCTTTGACATAATTTTCAAATAATCATTATTATCCAAGACCATTTCCCCCTTGGGGATGTTAAGGAGGAAGTAAAGCCACCAGCCCAGTGCTTGAGTCCATACTTGTGGATACCCCCTTGAGACACTGGGTGTGTGTTTAGAGGGGGGGCTGCAGTTTCGAGTTAGGTAGGTGGGTTCTAATGAGCTAATGAACTTTGGTTCAAATTGTTAAAGGAAACTGATGGCTGTTCCCCAAAGTTAAGAAGGCCTGGGTGATGCTTCTCAGAGTTTAATGTACCTAAGAGTCACTTGAAGCTTCTGAGTCAGTGGGTGTGGACCGGAGCCTAAAATTCTACATTTCTAACAAGCTCTAGGTGCTGCTGTGATGCTAGTCCACAGACTACCAAAGTAGCAAGGAACTGGGGAACATTCAGATGACACTGTAAACGTGGTTTTGCACTCTGTGATTTTTTTCTCCCTTAACCTCTTGAAATGCTTTTATATAACACCTTACATGAGCGTATCCCTCTGAATAACTGTATAATATTTAGTTGCTTGAATGTGTAGTGATTTATTTGATCATTTATCTTTTGTTTGAAATTGAATGTGCTTCCTGTTTTTAGCTGTCATAAATGATGCTGCCATGAGCATCCCTGTTCATAAGTCTGTCTGCTTCTCCGCACCAAAACCTGCAACCATGTCAGAGCATTCCATTAGGACTCAAAAAAACTTAAGAAGAAAATTATGTATAAAAGAAATTGAAAATACTGTATAACAACAAATATTGAACAAGCCTGTAATGTCTGCATCCAAGGCATTTGGTGACAGGAATTGTGCAATATTCAGAGAAGTAGAGAGAGTTTTTCTTTCAGTTTTGCTATAATGTGTACTTGGAAACTATGCCATAAAGTATAAAGCTCAAAAGTGGCTGGAATTTCTCCATAGAAAGTATTGTAATTAGAGGTTGTGTCCCAAGATTCATAATAAACTTTTTGAAGGCAAAAATGCAAGGTGTGTATTATTGACCATCAAAATTACAGACTAAGTCCTATGCAATGGAAATAAAATGTACCATATACATAGAATTTTTAAAAGCTACCATATCATAACTTTTCACAAAAATTAATAAACAAGTTATATTAAATGCAAAATAATTAATATTTTGGCCTCTCTTGTTTACTGCTGTGTCCTTAGGTCCTAGCTTTCGTTATGGTGACATCTAGCCCATAGGGCACCTTCGAATAGGAAAAGGCACTCCTTCCTGAAGCACTTAACTTCCTTCCAGTTGAAACTTATGTATATTGATTATGGTATGACAAGACATTGTACTGCCATCTGCTAGAAAATTGTAGCAATAAAATGCAAATATAAAATGTTTACAATGTGAATGATATTTCCTTAGATGTTGTGCACAGTCTGCACAACCATAGGCATTAGCCTTATATCTGAATAGATATTTGTGGAACAAATGAATGAATAAATGTATTCCATTGATCCCGGTTGTGCTTTGAAGCTCCTAGTTCATTGAAACTGATTCAGTATTCTCTTTTAATCATTGAAACTGATTTAGTATTCCTATGTTGAATCTTGGAATGCAAAGAAATTTCCAGGTGATTCTAATACGCAGCCAAGGTTGAGAACCCCTGGTCTAGTGAAAAGTCATGCACTCAAAGCATCTAAAGGTAGGGACATTCACAAGTGAAAAAAAATCAAGTAACTGTAATTTTTAAATCTTTCAAAAATAGAGTTGTTAATCAGAGGATATTTGATTTATCACCAAATGAATGACATACATTACTAAATATCTAAGGAGTGTACAGGCAGGGAGAGCCCTATGGGTGGGGATACTTAGGGAATGGAGGAAATGAGAGGGCATAGGACAAGACTCCGCCCTCCCAGAGTTCCAGTTGTGGCATGAGCTTAGGGGACAGAGGCAGCGAGCAACTGAGTTAAGGAGAGCTCTTCTACTCCTCTGAAATTGTGCTTTTTACGGAGTTGAGAAACCCACCCCTGCAACATTCTTTTTTATGCCATTGGCTGGACAGTAGTAGTTTGCAACTCCAATCAAACAACATGCTTGCAGATTGTTACAATCCTGCCATTTTCCCACCAACCATAATCACATGGCTGCATTTTAATTCCGATTTACTGAATTGTATTACTAGGAGCTTTCTAATTCCCATTTTAAATGTTAAAAGCCTTCAGCCATTTTCTTACTTAAAACCATTAAATGTAGCGTCAGCTATGTTGAGGAATGTATGGATGACACAGCATTTCTCCAGCCTGGAATAGTTTTCTTCCTAACTTCCGCTGCATCCCCTCATCCACCCTCCAACTCATTTTAGGCCTTCTTAGTTTAGCCTTTAACAAAAAGATTTTAGAAAGAACTCAGACTTTCTTCGGGGAAGTCAGTGCCTCCCAGACTTGTGTGGTGGTTTTAAAGATATGTTCAACCAGGCTGGGCAACATAGCGAGACTCGTCTCTACAAAAAATTTAAAAAGCAGCCCGGCATGGTGGCATGCCTCTGTAGTCCTAGCTACTCAAGGGAGGCTGAGGCAAGAGGATCACTCAAGCCCAGGGATTTGAGATTACAGTGACCTCTGATTGTGTTACTACACTCCAGCCTGGGTGACAGAGCAGGACCCTGTCTCTAAAAAAGAAAGAAAGAAAGAAAAAAAAGATATGTTCACAAATTCTTTGCAGTTCCTAAAGAAATGGAGCTTAATTCCCCTATCCTTAGTGCGGGCTGGACTTAGTGCCTCGTTTCTAACAGAAAACCCTTCAATTGCTGAGAAATCCCTGGAGAACATGGCTAGCCCTCCAAGACTATTCTACTTAGAGCTGTTCTACTTGCTAGTATGAGATTTTTAACTCTTCTCCACCCATTAGGAAAGAAGAATGAGGTCTATTTGCCCTTATATTTCAAAGAGAACCCATTCAGAATTCCAAAACGCAGGAGGTTAAGGATGTAGGAGTGTGTGGAGGTGGTAGACATCTGCTGATTTTTTTTTCGTAAGCAGTTTCAGTTGGGATTCTGACATATGCAACCAAAAGATCCTAATGAAGTCAGTTTTAAAAAGATCCAGATTTTCATATCAGAAATATAGTAAGTGAGATTTAAGTAATTTTACCAAATTTTATGTTAGGAATTAAAATATTTTGCACTGGAAGATCAGTTCAAAAGCAAATCTATGCAAAAATGTACCAACGGAATCCTATGCTTTCAGAATCACAGTGTGCTAGAACTAAAAGAGGCCTTAAAGATCCTATTTAACTGGTTTTTAAGTGAGGAGAAGCATCTTTTCATTTTTTTTTCTTTGAGACAAGGTCTTGCTCTGTTGCCTAGAGTGCAGTGGCATCATCATAGCTCACTGCAACCTTTAAGTCCTGGCCTCAACCCATCCTCCTCCTTCAGCCTCCCAAGTAGTTGGGACTATAGTCACACACCTGGCTAGTTTTCAAAAAAAAATTTTTTGTAGAGATGGGATCTCACTATGTTGCTCAGGCTGGTCTTGAACTCCTGGCCTCAAGGGATCCTCACACCTTGGCCTTCCAAAGTGCTAGGATTATAGGGATGAGCCACTGTGCCCAGCCCCTTTTCATATTTTTAATGGCTATTTGTATTTCTTCTTTTGTAAATGCCTTTTAAGATTCTTTGCCATTTTTCTATTGGAGAATTAATTTGTAAGCAATTTGTAAGTATATGTGTGTGAATATAAACATATTGTCTGTCATATATAATATGTATCTTTCCTTTTTTCCATAGCATAATGCTGCTTCTTATATATATAGGAAGTTTTTTTGTAAATTCTTATGTAAATTTATTTGTGTCTTTTTTTATAGCTATATCTCTGTGTTTATAATTAGCAAGAAGACTTCCTAACCCTAAATATAGTAAATACCTATGTATTTTCACACAGTTATTTTATGATTTATTTTATAGAATTTTAAAGATCTATCTTTAATTTAATTATATATAAATCTTTAATAAATGTGGAATTTAATTTATGAAGTAGACCTCTAACTTTATTTTTTCTAAATGGTTAGCCAAATGTCATTGTGCCATTTATTAAGTAATCCATCTTTTCCCTATTCAATTGAAATGCCACCATGAGTTAATTTTGTCTTTATTTATTTCAGGTGACAGAACTGCTCAAAACATTTATTAGCAGAGAACAATGTTTTATGTAATTAGTATTTGACTCTAGAGTTCAATTTGAAGAATGAAAAAAATTAAGGGAAGTGATAGAGTCCAATACTATGAGCAATGTTTGTTGGGAGTTTTGAAGATAGATAAATTGGAAAAAAATCATTGTATTGCTTTATTTTAAAGTAGAAACTAGCCATTTTTAAGCTGCATTTGAGGACTTTATTTTCCCTTTGCATTTTCTCCTCTGCTATCTACATATTTTCTAGAAGACTTAATATCTGGCATTGGGGAATCTTCAAACCTGAGAAACCTCTAACAGGAAGTTTTTCTGTGGATGTTAGGATTAAGAAAAGAGGTGATTATACATTAAAGATTTGAGGAGGGATGTTCATCCTTAAGGTTATAAATTTTATCCACAAAGTCCCTGGCCATAATACTGGGTGGACTTGTATCCCTCCCCTCAAAAAAGATATGTTGAAGTCCTAAGCCCCAGTATCTCAGAATGTGACATTACTTGGAAATAGAGTCATTGCAGATATAGTTGAATTAAAATGAATTCATACTGGAATAGGGTAGGCTTCTGGTCCAATATGACTGGTATTCTTATCAGAAGATGGTCATGGGGAGACAGAAACACACAAGGAGAACATCATGCAATGATGAAGGCAGAGATTGGAGTTACTCAGCTGGAAACCAAGGAACACCTTCTTATGTGCTTACTTGGTATCAGATTTGACTATGTGTCAAAGATTGCTGGCAAACCATGAGAAGCTAAGAAGATAAGAAGGATTTCTCTGCAGAGAAATCCTACAGAGATTTCAGAGGGAACGTGGCTCTGCTGACCTTGATTTCACACATATAGCCATCCAACTTGTGCTACTTTGTTACAGGGGCCCTAGGAAACTAATATAGCCCCCGTGAAATTTAATGGCCTCATGGTTTCTAACACCAAAGTGCTCCAAAACAGCTTCAATCTGAATTTTGTCAAATTTTGAACACTTATGGGAGATGATACAACTAGAGATACTTGCTAAATACAGCCCCATGATTCCATGAAATCTAAGTAAAAATTAAGTAAATCCCTTAGAATCAGAGCTAGAATAATGGTTGAGAGTGTGACTCTAAAACCCAGATGTCTGAGTGCATAGCCCTTTTCTGCTATTCATTAGCTCTGTGAACTAAGCAAGTTATTTAACTTTGAGGGGCCTCTGTTTCCTTATCTGTAGAACAAAATACCTACCTCATAGAGTTGTTGTAAGGACTGGATGAGGTAACACATGTAAAAGTCCTTAGAACAGTACCTGACACAGAGTAAGTACATAATAAATCTTCTTTTTCTTCTTAGTATTATCATCACTATTATTACAAGTGTAGCTGATCCTGTTTTGGGGGAAACAAATTTGAAATGACAGTTTATCACATAGTCACAAAAAATTGCTAGACATTCATATAAAGATCTATTGTAATTTAGTCATTTTGCAATGGCAGTTTAACCACATGACAAGACTGTGGTCCTGAAATGTATCTTAGGTTACCATGATGTCTTCTTGCAGGTTGCCATGGACTGAATTGTGTCCCCCACAAAATTCATATGTCAAAGCCCTATTCCCCAATGTCACTGTATTTGGAGATAGGGTCTATAGGAGATAATTAGAGTGAAAGGAGTCATTAGGGAGGTGCCCAAATTCTATAGGACTGTGGCCTTATAAGAAGAGGAAAAAGGAAAACTCTTTCTCTAAGTCAAGCACTGAGGAAAGACAGTGAGAAAGTGGCTGTCTGCAAGGCACAAACAGAGCCCTCACCAGAGACTGATCATGCCAGCCCCCTGACCTTGGACTTCCAGCCTCCAGAACTGGGAGAAAATAAATTTCTATTGCTTAAGCCACCCAGTATATGGTATTTTCTTATGGCAGCCCAAACTGACTAATACCCAGGTTCAACACTCAAAGGGTTAAATATGTATACCTCTTTGGGGCTGGCTACATGGATCTCCCTGCTTGGCCATCTCTTTCCCTACCAGACCTCCAAATTTGGAGTGCGGTAGCACCCTCTTCTTTGCTATATCTGTATCCTTTTCCTGGATCTTCTATCTCATTTGGGCCCAAGGCTTTAAATACCATGTACCATGGTTTGAATGTTTGTGTCCTTGACAAAATTCATTTGGAATCGTCAGCTTATGAATATCTTTGACCT